TCAGCAAGAGAAGAAAATTAAAGGGATACAAATAGGAAAAAAGAAGTCAAATTATCTGTTTGTTCATGACATGATCCTATATGTAAAAGACCCCCCCAAAAAAACCCACCAGAAGACATCTAGATATGATAAACAAATAGAATGGAAGAAAATCTTTGCCAGCTACTCCTTCAACAGGTGATTAATATCCAGTAGCAGCATATGAGATCAACATACAAAAATGAATAGCTTTCCTATACGCCAATAATGAGTCTGCTGAGAAGGAAATCAGGAAAACTATCCTGTTCATTATAACATCAAAAAAATATTTGGGAATAAATCTAACCAAGGAGGTAAAAGACCCCTAACAAAGAAAACTATGTAACACTGAAGAAAGAAATTGAAGAAGACCTTAGAAGATTAAAAGACCTCCAATGTTCTTAGATAGGCAGAATTAATATTGTCAAAATGATCATATTAACAAAAGCAATATACAGATTCAATACAATCTCCATCAAAATATCAATGAAATGCTTCACAGAACTAGGGAAAAACAGTCCAAAATTTCATATGGAAGACTAAAAGACCCAGAATAGCCAAATTAATACTGAGAAAGAAGAGTGATACTAGAGGCATCACAATATCTGATCTCAAATTATACTACAGAGTTATAATAACAAAAGTAACATGTTATTGGCATCAAAACAGACACATAGACTGATAGAATAGAAGACAGAGACAACCTACATGTTATCTGATACTTGACAAATGTGCCAAAAACATATGCTGTAGAAAAGAACCTTTTTTAACAAATGATGCTGGGAAAACTGGATATCCTTACATAGAAGAATGAAACTTGACTTTTTAAGCCATATTAAGTGGATCCAGGACCTAGGAATTAGACCAAATACTCTACAACTGTTAAAAGAAAACAGGCTCAATACTCTAACATATTGGCACTGTACATATTGACATTGTCCTTAAAAAGACACCTAAATCCTGAGAAATAAAACCAAGAATCAAAAAGTGGGATGGCATTAAATTTAAAAGCTTCTGCACAACAAAAGAAAGAAGACTGTGAAGAAAAAGCTAATAGAATGGAAGAAAATCTTTGCCAGCAACTCCTAAAACAGGTGATTAATATCCAGAATATTTTTTATAAAAACATAACACCAAAAAAATTAACAAATGGGTAAAAGAACTAAACACAGATTTCTCAAAAGGAGAAATACAAATAGTCATCAAATATATGGGGGAAAAAACGTCTAACATCCCTAGTAATCAGAGAAATGCAAATCGAAACCACATTGAGATATTGTCTCACTCCAATTACAATGACAATCTTCAAGAATACAAATAATAATAAATGCTGACTATGATGGGGGCAAGGTATGCTCATAAATTGCTGGTGGAACTACAAATTAGCACAACCACTTTGGAAAGTAATATGGAGATTCCTCAAAAGACTAGGAATGGAACCCCCATATGATACAGCTATCCCACTCCTTGGTATTCACTCAAAAGAACCAAACTCAGCATACTACAGTGTGAAAGCACTTCAATATTTATAGCAGTGCAATTCACAATAGCCAAGTTATGGAATCAGCCCAGATGTTAATCAACAGATGAATGAAGAAAATGTGATATACACAAACACAAACACATACACACACAATGGAGTTTTAGTCATAGATAAGAATGAAATTATGGCATTTKCTGATAAAATGGATGGAAATGGACAACACGATGCTAAGTGAAATAAGCCAGACTCAGAAAGTCAAGGGCCGAATGTTTTCTCTCATATGCAGACGCTAAAGCAAAATAAGCGGGGAAAGGTGGTGGGGTAATCCAATGAAAACAGAAGAGAGATCAGTGGAGTAAAGGAAGGGAATAGAGGAAAGAGAAGAGGGATGGGAAAAGGGAGAAACTACAGAATGAAATTGACCAAATAATGCTATGTACCTGTATGAATATACCACAACAAATTTCACATTTATGTATATCTATAAAGCACCAATTTAAAAAAAAACAGTAAYTAAATAGAAGGAAGATAGTAAAGTGGATGAAGGGGAACAGGCAGAGGAAAGAGGAAAAGGAAAGAGGAAGTAGGGGGGACTGAAATGAAGCAAATTATATTTTATGTGTGTATGATTTTTCCAAAATGAATCCTATTGAGTATCATACACTAATAAAAACATTTTTAAAAATAAAAGACACATATATTATGGCACTAAGGGGGAAAAAAGTCATATGAGCAGTAAGGGTTACTGTATGACCACATAGAGGAGGAAAAAACTCAACTTTTATGGATACATTATGGATAGGATGGTTTGTCATACAGGTTCAGAAATGGAAAGCAGCTGTGAGGGGTAACGAGAGGAAAAACTTTCCCAAATGTTGAAGCTTTGAATTCTGCACACACATAGAGATCTGCTTTGTGTGGAACTCCACAAATTCCTTAAAGCGAAGAGTTATACAAGTCACCTTTGTATTCTTCATTATCTACTCTTAACAGACAATTCTCTTAGTTTTAAGATAACATAAAATTTAGTCAAGCTTATTATGCAAAAAAAAGGAATTTATGATAAGGATACAGTGATTCTTTTATAAAAATTCAAGGACAAGAATAAATACAGGCCTAAGGAAATTCTAAAACTGGAGACTTTTCCCATATCATCTTTGTACCTCCCTGAATATACAATTTGCTTTCTCTCTTCTTTATACATTGATGTTTTCTATGTCTCCAGGAGAAATATATGTGAAAAATGGCCTCTATCATAGATGGATGAAGACACACACACAATACATAAATAAAGCACTGATTTTAAAAAATACATAAATAAAGAACCAATTTAAAAAAAAAAAGTAACTACATAGAAGGAATATCAGTAAAGTGGATGAAGGGGAACAGGCAGAGGGGAACACACACACACACACACACACACACACACATACATTATTGATACAACCAACTTGATAGTCATTCTTTATTCAGAATGGTTGCTAGGGGCTCAGCCTTGACCCAGATAACTAGGTCATTGTGAGATTAAAAAAATAAATAAACAATAATTCTCATTAATTCTCCCCTGAAAAATCTGAATCTTCTTAGGCATATCTGTTTTTATTTATTATATAGTTCTGTCACCAATCCATCCTTCTTTAAAACTTACCTTTATCTTTTCTTCTCCATTCTAACTTTATTATTTGCCAAAATGATAGTTCAAAAGATATATATTTTACTGTGATTAAATTCACATTTCTTTACCAGTGAGGATAAACTTTTTCTCATGACATAGGGCTATCATTTTTTTTTTTTTTTTTTTTTTGCTCTTTTGGATTGTAGGTACTGAATTGTGTCCTTTCCCAAAATTCTCATGCTGAAGTGTCAACCCCAGTACTGTATTTAGAGACAAAGCCTTTACAGAAGTAAGTAATGTCATAAAACAGGCAAGGTCATTTGAAGGCAGATGTTTGCAAACCAAAGTGAAAGATCTCCGAAGAAACCAAATCTGCTGATATAGTGACCTTGGACTTCTAACCTCCAGAATTGTAAGAAAAGAAATTCGTGTTGTGTAAGCTTCAAAGTCAGTCTGTGGTTTTTTGTCATGTCAGCCCAAACATATTAGCAGTTTACCTCTGTATTTCGTTTTTTTCTTTAGATTTGTTTCTTCAGGTAATAGCACTATACTTTTAAGACCTTACTTAGCCTTTCATACATGATGAATGCAACAAATATTTTTCTAATTCATTTCCCTCTCTCCTTCAACTTCTTTTTTGCTTTACTTWCTGTCATTTTAAAATTTGCAAGCCAAATTTTTCAGACTTTTCTTTTATTGCTGCTGCATTTGAAATTATGCTTGAGATCGCCCTTCTCGTCCTCAGAATTATATTTATACTTATCTACATGTTTTTCCAGTTCTATTTTTTTTTCCTTTTTGGTCACTGAAATGTTATTTTCAGTGTATAATGCAAGATATAGCTCAGTGTTTTAATATAGCTAACCAATTCCCTATATCATTTATTCAATCATTTCCCATTGATTTGAAATCTTTTAGCATAGCCTAAATATATTTCAAACTTCTGTTGCTTTTTGCTTATAATGATCATTCATTCAATAATTCATTTTGGAGACTATATTCTCCCACAATCACCACTAGGGAAAACGAATTTTTTAAGTTTAAGAAAAATCTTGGATGTCTTCAAGTGTGGAAAAAAGATTTTTCCTTCCTTTCTTCCTTCCTTCCTTCCTTCCTTCCTTCCTTCCTCCCTCCCTCCCTCCCTCCCTCCCTTCCTTCCTTCCTTTCTTTCTTTTTTTTTTCCCTTGGATTAGGGAAAGCTTTTAAAGTGAGTTTTAAGTTTTTCATCATGTTTTCATCTAATAAAAATATTTTATCAAATGAAGGGCAGGTACCATCGGATTTGTCAAATTATCATACCAATAAAAGAAAAATKATAAACTACATGAGGACTGTTAACTTGGCTTTTTCAGATTCCTTTAAGAGAAGCGTTCTAATCTTTTATTACCACTAACTATTATTATATATTATTAACACCCCCCCCCATTCTCTTTGATAAAATTCCAACAGTAATGAAGGGTGAGTCAGGAGACTGTTTTCACAATGATCCCTGTTTAGTGGAAGAAAAGGACCCGTACCCAATGGTGGGGCCTTGGAAGAAGGGGAAATTCTTCCAAGAATTTCCAACAGAAACACGGGCGCCATCCCGCAAAGCCCGTTCCCCACTTCCGCCACTCCCTCCACCCCGGSCGCTGAAAGCTGAGGGAGGGCGCGGAGGTTGTGTGGGAAGGCGGAGCTGAGAGGGAGGCCACAGAGAAAGTGCGCTCAGATTTTTGAAGGTCGTAGAGTGAACTTCTTAACTATATCTAGATGCTCAGCCAAAGCCTCAGAAAGAAAAAGCGGGAAGATCTTGCATCAGGCGTGCGGAACTCCGGGAAAAAGCTCGGCCCCACCCCACCCCATCCCGGCATCCTTTGCGCGGTGCACTCCTCCGGCCGGCCGCCGTCAGCCGGGAGTTGCCATGGAAACCCAGAGGCCCTAGTTATGTCGCTGCAGCGGCCGCCTCCATCGCGCGTGTTCGTAGAACTGGTTCCTTGGGCTGATCGGGGCCAGGAAAACAATTTGATCACTGGCGGAGAAACGCGGCCCAATGTCTGCCGCCCCCTTTCCTCAACACAGGCCCAAGCCGCGACCCGCGAAGTGCACGTCAGCGGCACTGCGGAGGTGTCTGCTAGCCCTGACCGGGCACAAGTGGCAGTGCGAGTGAGCAGCACCAAGGAGGCAGCGTCGGAGGCCAAGAAGAGTGTTGGCCGTCGCCTAGACTACATCACGCAGTGTCTCCAGCAGCAGGGATTGCAGGTGAGAGTTCAGCAGAGCGGAAACTTCCAGCCTCATGACACAAAGGGATGGGTGGATGGTTGGGCCCTGACAGAACACTGTGGTGGGGATGCGGGTGTGGAGATTCTTGGGCGTTTGGAAAGCCTTCGATGCGTCGTGTTTGAAGGCATCACGACCTAGCCAAGTGAATCTTTTTGACCTTTCTGTGTTCTAGATGAAAGCAATTCTTGGCCTGAGTGAACTTGCAAAAAAAAAAAAAAATGCAGATTAGGTAGGTTTTTATCTGGCGATATATGCAGTGATTTTGTTTTTACATTTGATGAAATGTTAAAACTTGAAATGTTAGATGTAAATACTTGGCTAAGTAGAAAGCTGGGCCCTAAGTTTGCTTTTCTTTTTCTTCCCCCGCCCCCCTTTTTTCTTTTTGGTCATTTTTACTCTGTATCATGGAACTGGCAAATAAGACATGACCTGCTTCCTCTAAAGCATGTTAAAGTTTTGTAATGCGTGGTTTTTCAGTATTTTTTTTTTTGTAAACAGTATTGTTTACAAAAAAAACCAGAGGTAGCATCCATTTTAAGTTTATAAAACTCCCCCCAAAATTCTCCAACATTCTTAGTTTTAACCTTTTTTTAGAACAGTTAAACCAGTGTATTGTGGATGTGACATGTGAAATACCTCTACTTAACAGAGATGCCCATGAGACAAATCACCTAATAAACCTTACCTTAAAGCCCACTCCTAAGAAAAAAAATGAGCCAGCTTTATTTTATCCATACAACAACCCTGTTAATCATGTTTTAATATTCCCATTTTCTAGATTTAATGAAGGTAAGTAATGCTCTGAACTTTAGCATAGCAGTATTTGAACTTCTGTGTTCTGAAATCAAAATCTAGGTTGCATCCAACTATCCCAGGCTCCAGATAATTAGAATGAAAGAAAATTGGAAAACAGACATCAACTGTTTCAGCTTCATTATTTTACAAAGTACTTGGATTCTAAAGAACAAAGATCTTACTTGATTCAGAGTAACATTGAGTTTGTAAAAGTGCAGACATTCTTGCTTCCAGTCTATTGCTAGAAATGCCATAGCCCTGAAAAGCAAGTCTGTATTTTAATAAGGAAAATATGGTTGTGTTGCATTTACAAAAATAAGAGTTATTAAGTCATTTAGGAAAAAATTCCCAAAAGAGATTTATGATTTAGAAGAATTCAAATGTTAATTCTAAATAATGTGAATAAAATGGGCTTACTATATAGAAAAATGTTTCTTAAAAACCTGCTACCAGTGCCATAATTTTGTTTGAATTAAGTCATTTACATAAAATATAAACTGGGCCCATGTGTCTCTAACTTCTAATATGTAAAACAAAATAAATTACTAAGTCTAGTTTAGAGTAATTACGTTAAGATTCAATGTTTAAGACAAGACAAAGGATAGTAATCTCCCAGATTATCTCTGTTAATGAAGGAAGGCAATCGTGTAGATGATTTGTTCAATAAATAATAAATTAAAATTATTTATATTACTTTTCAGGATGAATTACTTGCATTCATAAAGTCCTTATTCATTTTAAACTTCAGAATATTGGGTTGTAAGTTTTATAAATATCATACCCCTACTTAAGAGGCCCCTCATACTTTTAAACTCTTTTGCTTAATATATGGAACTTAACTCTCTTCATTCCCTGTCATCTTTCTCTCCTCTCTTTGTCTAGCTAACTTTTTCCCCTCTTTCCCCAGGCCAAGCACACCTTTTTGCATTCCTTTCCCAGTATGACACAAGTCTCTATTATATGATACTCTACTCCTTAATAAAATGTATCACCCTGTGTAACTCTTGATTTACTTGTCTGTATATATTAAACCTCCCCAAAGCAAAGGGCTTTTTTGCATTCATGAGTTGTGTTCATGTGCACCACATAGGTATATATAGTCAAGGGGCAAGGCAGTTTACTGGAGCCTCTTTTATAAGGGCAATTTGCTGAAGAGTCACAAATAAAACAGACTAATATAAGTATGTATGTAATAGAGTAAGAAAGAAAACAATGTTCATTGTACTTGAGGAGTTTCAGTAAGATCTCATAAAAGAAGTGACACTTCTGTCAAATATTAAACAATAATTGAAGGGAAAGCATTTCTGTTCCTCATTAGAACTCAGCAAGCATATATGTTCTGAGCACTATAAGCAGTTCAGAATGGCTAGGACACAGAAGACCTGGGGGACATAAAGGAGAATCGGAGGTAAGATTGACGAAGAAAGCTAGAGGCAGAACATGGAGGAAACTTTGTGTGCCCTACTGAAGAGTTTATATATTATTAATTATTATTGCTGGGCCTTTTACAAATGCTATTTCATTTAGTATTCCTACCCTATAAAATCAGTACTAAAATTGCTGTTTTACAGATGAGAACTCTCAGGACCAGAGCGATTGTTCACATCTGGGAAGTGGCAGAGTTTAAACTCCAAGAACTTTGATCTCAAAGCCCATGCTCTTGACTACTAAAGTATGTTGCTACTTTATTCTCTTGGCAGTGGGTGATTGAGCAGATGATACTGATCACCCCCACATTTATCTGTTGGCATTTCACATTTGTCTGTTGGCATTTCACATTTGTATGCATGCAGGCCCAACTTCTGTCTGCCAACATATGTGAATTATTTGCCTGAAAATGAAAGTTTTCCCTGGCTACCAGAATTTATTCTGCCTGCATGTGAGGCCAGACAATAATGCTTGGAAATTAATTCCTAACCCCTCATCCTAACAGCCTTCAATTGAAGGCTTAAATGAAACTGGAATGACTGAGGAGACCCCAGCTTCCTCACTCCTTGAGGAGAAAAACTTGGAGGCATGTGTTCCACCCCAGTTGCAGGGTTTTTCTATAGGATTAAATTTGAGTTACCCATAGTAGTAATTTCCTTGACAATGGCTTATTTTCCTTCTCTCTCTTCCCACTCTGGTGTTCTATGGGATCATATTCAAAATCACCTATACTCAAATCTTTGTCCCAGGATCTGGTCTTGGAGTCACCCAATTTAAGACAGAATAATGGAACAGATAGAACATATATATTAACAGTAGTTTTTTATTATTAAGAATGGTAAAAAAATGATGCACTTATAGCTAAATATTTATATAAATCCTTAATTAATGTTCTTTGGACATTAACTGCTATATATAGTGTATATTTATATATATATTTGATATATATATAATTTATATATATCTATATGGAATTATATATATATATATATATATATATATATATATTTGAAGGTTGATGAAAAATTACACTCTAGGAAAATAAGTTATACCACAACCTGGCATGGCAGGCAGTATTTTGTTTCTTAATTTTGTTAATTCAGTAAGTCTAAAAAATTATTCTGTTATTTTTTTTTAACATTTGAAGTTAAACTTTTTTCATATTAGTTTCCAGGTACTTTCCTATTTTTCCATTGTTTTTTCTTGGTTAGTTTAGAAGAACCTTAAAATTAAGATTGTTCGGAGTTTATGTCTATCATATATTGCAAAAGTTTTCTCCCAGTTTCTTATTTATCATATAATTTAGCTTATACTTGTGAATATTCAAAATTTTGAATTTTTATTTACCCAAATTCATTCATCTTTTCTGCTTTCAATGTAATGCTTATTGGGTCCTTCCTAAGCATGATGTCATATAGCCATTAACTGATATGTCTGAAATATTAAGGGACCCTTGAAAATGCATTAAATGTTATGTTTTATTTTTACCTTGGTATAAGAATAAGAGTTTTGTAAATAACTGTACTGAGACAAAGTATTGAAGTCTGTCATTCCCTTATTGTATTTGCAGGAACCTATCTTAAACTACCTTTACTAATAAAAAAATATTTCTTTACCTAATTGAAAAGTTGTAATATGAGTAATCAAGTATAATATGGTCAAGACTCTATTTTGATGTAGTTCCCTTGGCTTCACCTGCATCTTCCTGCATGATACAAAATGACTGCAACAATCTGAAGCCTTACATCAAATACTATATCTTAAAAAGACAATTGTGCTTATTAATGTATCCATGTTAAAAAAAAAAAAAACCTGCAATTCACTCTAACTGGATAATTTAAACTTGTCTTTGTGGCCAGGGAAATGCAGTAGACCAGTTTAGATTTGGATATCTGTCCATCTTTTAACCTAATCCTGGGGCAAGTCAGACATGATATCAAGGCAATAAAGACTTATGGGGGTGTCTCTGAATCATAGACTTCTGCTCTGAAAGAGTAGGAGAAAAATATACGATATGAGGATTCCATATTGCCTTTTTTGCCTGTTGCTTTAAAATGTTCCAGATTATTGTTTTTTGCAGTCTTCAGATGTTCTGGAATTGGATTATATTAGTAGCACACTATTTAAATTATTAACATCTTTATAAAATCTTTGAGGGAGAATTCTGACCTCGTTATTGTTCCCCTGAAATGATTTCCTATCTGCAAGGAGTGGTACATGTTAAATGGCAAAATGGGAATACAATCAGAAATTCCAGATAGTGGGAAATCCTATAGGACAAATAAGACTTCTCTGTTCATATTTTACATTATATTTATATGTTCATTTTAGGATAATTGCCAATTTTGCAGTATTGTGTCCTAGTCCATTTATTCAGTTATTTTTTTCTGTAAAGTTTTATGGTTTTCTTCATGTTTGCCTTTTTATGAAAACAACTGGCTATTAATGTTATTCCCATATTGACCAATTCATTGTATTTATATATGAAAGTGCTTAATTGGGAAAACTTAATGAATTATGCTTGTATAATTCAACATTTTTTAGGTTTACCTGGTATTGGCATGGTTTCTCAATATTGGCACTGTTACCATTTTGTATCATCTAATTCTTTGTCATCCGGGGCTATGCATTGATGTTCAGCAACATTCCTGGCCCATATCCATAGGGTAACCAAAATGTGCCTATTTACTTGAAACTGATTTTCTCATGTCTTAGGAACCTCCTCACTTCCAGACTAACAGGAACACTTGGTCACT